TTTAGTTTGTCAAGAGATTGTACAAAGTTTATTACAAATTAAAAAAAAAATAGATTCTATAAAATATGTTAAATTTTATCGGCAGGAAGGCTGTAATTTTGATGCGAGATTTAACATATATACGGTAGAATGCTGGTAAAATACAATAAAGTTTATCAATAAAATGTAATGACATTTTCATAGTGAAAATCAAATAAATTTTTTCATACTATTGATGTAGATTAGCGGTAGAAATAAAACGGAACCTGCATTTTGATAGATTCTGTTCGATTTCTGCCATTAATTTGCTAACAATTTCTAATTGAATTTACTGCCAATCTGCTGTCATACTGCGGAAGGTTTGCTTATAAAGATAAAGACAATATATTGGCATTCAAATAATTTTATTTTAATTATTATTAAATATTTAATTCTGTATTTCAATGTTAAATATGTTTCCATAGTATTTATCGTATCAAGAAACTGTACTAATGTCTAGTCCTACTAATATAAATTAACTTTAATCTCAATTCAACTTACTTTCTATTTTCAAGTTTTAAGAATTAGAAAGAAAATAAAAAGTAAATTAAACTGAGATTAAAATTAATTTACATTGATAAAAATGGACACTAAAAAAGGAAATACATAAATAAAACACATTTTTATTATTTGGATTAAAGATAAACTGTTATCCGCAATTTATAAATTCATATCGCTATCTCTGCATAAAGTTACAATGTACCATTAATGTGCTCTCTGACATGCATCATTTGATATTACAACTGCTGCAGTTTTATAAAATGGCACACAGATATCATCTGCATTTGAATGTAAGTAAGAATCGCGAGAGGAGCTAGAGATACGGAAGAAATCGCGATAAGATGGGGACGGCATGCGGAGCGGTCGAATCCGTCCGCGATCGCGTGGAAGCGATATAATATATATCTCACGACGAGACGAGATTATTGTGCCACGATCGCTACTGGAAGGATATAGCGACGGGGGTGAAAATCGTGCCACGTGGCCCGCGGGTACTCCAGGAAGAACAAGGGGAGAACTCGGACTAGTATTACTGGCCCCGGCCATGGCGAACGTGAGTTACCTTTACTGCATTTACTATTCTCCATTGTGCACGGCTACGATACGGGACCGTGCAGGGGAAGCTGCGAGAAAGATCGCGTGAGTCATACCGAGGCGAGCGAAGCTCCGCTGGCATTGGCGTAGAACGTCTTCTCTCTTATAATAAGGGCGTCTTGTCTCTTTCGAGGCATCACGGTATTTTGCTTGTAACTCGTCTTGCTACCGAAGCTTCGCTTGAAATCGTATTTAATATTTCTTGTAACAATTGAAACACTACTTTGTTAGCTGCGGCAATAACCAATTATGTTTGACTGCTTAATTGTAATTTCCGTCTCTCTGCAGTCGTTACTTTGTTATTGTTACTTTTTGCGCGCATTTAGTATGTTCAATATGCAAAAACGTCATCTCTTATATTAATGCAGCTTGAAAATAATTCAAATAAAGGAAAAATGCGTTTTCCCGCGTAGGTATAACAATGGCTTTAAGAATGGAAAGCTTCTGATATTTAAAAATTATGTTTGCAGAAGTGTTTCAGCATGATTAGCACGCGTGTCATATGAAATTTGATGTCTCATGTAGTAGCATGTTTTTACAAAGATAACGCTGATTGATCATCGAGACAGAAAAGTTACGTTGTTTGCTTTGGCTCACTGGATACGCATTGATAAACGCACGGTACAATAATTCGAGTGATGAATGTACCTATAATGAAAAACGGTAGGAATTAAAGAAAACAATATTTAAACAAACATTGATGTATGTACTTTAAGAATAAAATAAAAACAATTTAAATTAATATGAGCTCTTATCTACGTGACTATATGATTTAAAAAAATAATATCTATAAAAATTCTCTATCTATTGAATAAAAAATTCTCGTGCAATTTATCGGAAAGTGTGGAACAAACCACTCTTAATATTTTCATTATGTTTTCAGTATTTTACTAAAAATCTTGTCTTTCTTTAATATTTTTTATGCATATAATATTTCTTGACTATAAAAATGCAAAACTTTGCAAAAATAGAAGTAAGGCGAAATGTCGCAGAAAATTTAGGTAAAATTATTCTGGCAAGAATTGAGAGAACCAACTAAAGTGAATTCAGGCAATTCGGGTTCGGGGAAGTAGTTTATAAGGTCAATCGATCAGCCCTAAATTAGTCTAAAATCGCAGAGAATCTTTCTAATTGGTCAAAGTTATAGTAACAGCTAAGTCGTCGACACGAGCAATTGTGAAAAAGGAAAGAATTTGTCGCAACACGTGGGATACCTACGTCACTGCGCTCGGTCAATGCATCAATCCGGCCTGCATCTGTATGTATTTACGCTTGACGGAGAGGAGGGAAGGAGGACGAGGGATGGACAAGGGGAAACCCCTATGTGACATCATCCCCCACACGAGCAAGCGCCCGCTTCGTTTCGCTGGCTGACTTCTGTCGCCTAACTCCAAAACACCCCTGGACCCTGCCACCTCCCTTTACCTTTAATCTTTATCAATCCATCCAGCCGAGTCGCCGAATCGAACGCACGAGCATGCACGAGACGGGACGCACGGGATGCGAACGCCACCGTGCATTATTCACGGCCGATAGCGCCTTCATCCCCCCTCCCACCCCGCAAGTCCATCTACCTCTTTCACCGAATTTCACCCTCTCTCCGACCTCCATCCTGTTTCCATCGTATGCCCTTCGTAGCCTCGTACCCTAAACAGTCTTTCGGCAAAGGGCATCAAATCATTGATTGAGACACAAATCACGAGTCTCCTTTTTTATATGTGAACGTCTTTATCTTTGAATATTAAAAATTTATTAACAATATTAATATTAGCAGTTTTAATATTAACAATGGCTTTTACCTAAATATTCATTTCTTATCGCCGTGATATTAACGTCTTAATTACACTATATAGGTATATATATTGACTAATCGTTTTTATATGTATCATATATTTTTGATGATTAAAGACAAATTTAATAAAGAAATTAATTCGGATTCAGTATTGCAAACAAAGTCCATCGCAGATATTTAAAGACTTTTTCATTATGACTCCTCATAATTTAATAGCTTAATATATTTGATGTTATGCAGTCATTAAACAAAATATTCTTTTTTCTCTAAAAAAAAGGAATTTTAAATTAATATTTGAATGTTTCGAATGTATATGTTGTCTAGATTTTTTTCTGTGACTGATTATCTCGCTGCGCTAACCGGGCGTGCCGTCACTATAGATTTTGACAGTTGTGTTTATCCGGTTTATTGAAGATGATAATATAATAATGTAATTGTATATATAATTTAAGCGTTGTTATAGTAAAAAATAAAAATAAAAATTAAATAGCGCATGCGACGAAGCGCGTATCTGATGTGGTATCTATATAATAGTAATATATGTATACATATATAAATACAATATAAAATATGAAATGTATATTATATATAGAGGCAGATGTTATTAACTTCAGATTAGTATAATTCTTTTTTCTTTCTACATGTTATGTTTTTTCTTGTGACATGAAGTCACGTTATATGAAAAGAATAGGAAATGTTATAATTATATAGACCCTCTTCCATATATTTATACACATCGAGAACTAATGAAAACGAAAGATCGCAATTTTCGTTTTCATTACTTCAATACTTATATACATATATGTATATATACATATATATATACAAAATTTATATTATATATATATTAAATAAAATTATAGGTAAGTATTATACTTTTATTTGTCAGAATTTTAATTACATTAGTGTAAAATATGAATTGTAAAAATTTAATTTATACAATATATGTGATATATTATAATTATAGTTTCTTGAATTTTAAGAGGTTGTCTGAGATAAAAAAGGAAAAATTTATTAGTACTATTATTATATAGTTGCTCGATTATTATTACATTTATAATTTTTTAGAATATTATATTATTATATAGCGCACTAATCAGATGGTTTTATGAGGTCGCTTCTATCGGTGGCGCCATCTTTCTCATAAATAACTTTATTCATTATATTAAGTAATTATTATAAGTAACGTAAATTATATAAATAAAGTAAAGTAAATATATAGTAAAGTAAATAAAATAAAGTAAAGTAAATTATATATATTATTATAATGATTTGTTATATATTATTATCTTAATGTTTCGTAGACATGTATATATTATAATTCGATATTTTTTATTTTAAAACTATAAATTTTATAATTATTATCATCTGCTTGATTATTGATCATGCGAGTGAATGTTGAAAAAAGAAAAATGTTACAATACAATTTTACGACAATGGTATTATATATATATTGGTCATATAAATATGCATTCTTATTTTTTGAAGCATATGTGTAATAACAAATTATGAATATAACAACTGCAGCGCTTTAAAAATTATAATTTTTAATTGTCAGATTTATCGACGATTGAAAACTTTATTTATCAATAATCGATAATATCGGACACATCATATATGTGTGCGTATAATATATACCGACCAATGAAATTTTTATATATGCAGGATTCATATTATTTCATATATATATATTTGATGTTATGATGATATTTATGTTTTGATATCCAAAGAAAATTTATTTTTTGGAAACAAAAATGTTGCTAAAAATTTTAGAAAGCAAATTTGTTTATTAGATATCATATCGTTTATGTTAGCGGTGCGCGATATAAAGTTCAAACATGGCGCTCAGCGTCTCATTGGTCAAGGTCAAGCTAATGTATAATAGTCAAAGATATATACATGTTTCATGAGTTTTTGTTTTTAAACAAATATTTATTTTCATACATTATGCTATGTTTGCTATCTTTGATCCTTCTTTTCTTCTAACTGCTGTATTTTTATGGCAATTTGTGCGTGATATAGATTTTAGATAATGACTTGCACGCAATTATTCGTAGATGGCACTGCGTTCGCAATTTCCATGTATCTAACGGAACTCTTCCTTCTTATCGTTTTTACTCCTCGTTGAAAAGGACAGTTGAGTGGTGATGCTTGGTTGTGTTGGAGATTTTGTGGCGCCAATTACACTACTTTCGGATTTAACGCGTTTTACTTGATTATTTTTAAGAATGCCGGCGTTCTTGAAGCATATCGAAGTCGAGAATTTCAAATCTTACAAAGGGAAGCTTATTATCGGTCCGTTGAAGTCCTTTACGGCAGTAGTTGGCCCCAATGGATCCGGTAGGTTATCATTCTGTCTGTCAACAATAGGTGCGTTCAGCGAATGCAACGCTCAAGCGATGGTTGTTTGTCGAAGGTAGCTGTATACATCTAAATTTATTGAATCAGATCCTTTTTCTAAAGATTTTCCAAAGGTCGCTCATTCAGTCGTTGTATTCGCTGAATGCAAAGGTACAATGTTCTATACTGGCAGACGTAAACTTTCATGTGACTATGATATGTTGTTTCATGCCACAGGAAAGTCAAATTTCATGGACGCTATCAGTTTCGTCATGGGCGAGAAGACTAGCAGTCTACGAGTCAAGAGATTCAGCGAGCTCATTCATGGCGCGTCCATTGGGATGCCAGTAGCACGAAGGTAAACTCGTATACATGTATATGTATATATATGATACTGGTTTACAAATTTCTGGAGTTGTGGAATTATAATTTGAATGTTTCACTTTGAATTGTGTAAAAACCATAAGCTTTTTATTGAACGCAGTGCTTCAGTAACAGCTGTATTCGAGTTGGAAGATGGAACTGAAAAGAGCTTCATGCGATCAGTACAAGGCTCTTCTTCTGAACACAGAATTAATAATAATGTAAGTTGAACTTTTTAATTGCAGCTGGACTTTTATTCAGTTGCACAACTTGAAATTTTCAAAAATTTTTTTTCATTACAGCTTGTCACCAGCCAAGTGTATCTTAATGAGTTGGAGCAACTCGGTATTAATGTCAAAGCAAAGAACTTTTTGGTATTCCAAGGTGCAGTTGAATCTATAGCCATGAAAAATCCAAAGGAACGCACTGCTCTGTTTGAAGAGATCAGTAATTCTGGTTCATTAAAAACAGAATACGAAAGGTAAATTTTCAAATACCACTGCATATAATCATATTTGATATATGACGAGCTTGTAAATAATAAAAGTGACATTGTAGATTAAAAACAGAAATGCTGAAAGCTGAAGAGGAAACTCAGTTTTCGTATCAAAAAAAGAAAGGGATTGCTGCCGAAAGAAAAGAGGCAAAGTTAGAAAAAGAAGAAGCTGAAAAATATCAACGTCTCAAGGAAGAATATGTACGTATATTTGACTTTATTGTAATATTTAATATTTGATCTTTTTTCTATCTATATACTTGTACATTTGACTATTAATAATAAAAATTATTTTTTATTTTTAGGTGGAAAAGCAAGTAGAACTACACCTATTTCGATTATTTCACAATGAGAAGAATACTGAAAATTTAGAGGTTTCTCAAAATAAGAAACAACATGAAATTGAAAAAGTCGAGAAGAAGAAGGAAAAGGCTGAGGAATTGTTAAAAGAGAAGAAAAAAGATGCCGCTAAACTGGGCAGAGATCTTGCTAAGATAGAGCAAGATATTAGAGAAGTGGAAGTGGAAATCACGAAGAAAAGACCGACGTTTATCAAAGCCAAAGAACGCGTCGCACATATGCAGAAGAAAGTGGAATCCGCACGCAAATCTTTAGCTCAGGCCCGTATCGCGGATGAAGCTCATAAAAAAGACATACACGAACTGCAAGAAGAATTGCGACAGGTGGAAGAAGCTAAAGCTGCTTACGAAGCGAGTATAGCAGGACAATCGCAATTACAAGGAAGAGACGTGCAATTGGAAGATGAACAGGTATAAATAAATTGCGTAATCACGAAATTTTAACAGTTAATTTACAACTTTTACGAATAAAATCAATTACAGTTAATATGAATAAAATACAAGTGTTAAATGATAATTGTTTAATTAACTGATAAAATAATTTAAGGTACAGGAATATAATCGTCTAAAAGAGGAAGCTGGCAAGCAATCTGCGAGGTATCTTCAGTTACTCGATTCTATCAATCGCGAACAGAAGTCAGATCAAGATAGGCTCGACAATGAAGGCAGGAAAAAGACCGAGATAGAGAACAAGCATAAGCAAAAGGGTCATATGCGAGATGAGGCGCTTAAACGAGTGGAAAAGTTGGAGGAGCACATAAAAACGTCGGAGGCTGCATTGGAGGATCAGAAGAAGCTCAGAGCTGATTTGCAGTCGGACGTAGGCACGTCGAAGGATAAGATTCAAAATTTGCAACGAGAATTAGAGAGCATCTCGGAACAACTCGGCGATGCTAAAGTTGATAAGCACGAAGTATCTAGAAACAAGAAAAAGACAGAGATTGTGGAGAATTTTAAACGTCTGTTTCCTGGAGTGGTACGTTATCTCTCTTCTCGCTGTTCTTCTCTTTTAATAATAGAAACGAAAATGATTCATGTGTTTTTTTTCTTTAGTACGATCGTATGTACAACATGTGCGAACCGATACACAAGCGATATAATGTTGCAATTACCAAAGTACTTGGTAAATACATGGAGGCTATTGTAGTGGATACTGAGAAAACTGCCAGACAATGTATCCAATATTTGAAGGAACAGTATCTCGAACCGGAAACATTTCTTCCGCTTGATTACATACAAGCTAAGCCACTTAAAGAACGTCTTCGGTAAATAAATTAATCATTACATAGTTCTCTCTTGTATTTTAACAGTACAGTTTTTTTGTCGTTTTATGTGAATCTTATAATGATGATTATATATTATTTTGCAGCAATATACAAGAACCTAAAAACGTGAAATTGTTGTACGATGTGTTGCATTTTTCTCCAAAAGACATTGATAGAGCAGTCCTCTTTGCAACTAATAATGCTCTTGTATGTGAAACACCGGAAGATGCAAATAAAGTAGCGTACGAGATGGACAAGAAAACTAGATATGATGTAAATATACACGCATTAGCTTTGTTTAAACGAAATAATAATGTGAATTATGATATCATATGTATGCAAAATATTTACAGTGCGTCGCATTAGACGGTACATTTTATCAGAAAGCTGGTATAATATCTGGCGGCAGTTTGGATCTTGCAAAGAAAGCGAAGAGATGGGATGAAAAACAGATGTCTCAATTAAAGGCGCAAAAAGTAACATCTTATTTCTATGTGTTTGTTATCTATGTATATTTATCGAGAAAATATAAAAATATATTTTATTTTTATTTATAGGAAAAATTAACGGAAGACCTGAGAGAATCTTTGAAAAAATCACGCAAGGAATCCGAATTAAACACGATTGAATCTCAAATACGTGGTTTAGAGACTCGTTTAAAATATAACAAAAGCGACTTGGCTGCAACAGTGAGTATTACATATTGCGTTGCAACATATGATTTAAAAAAATACATGGATAAAATTTTTATTGTAGCAAAAACAAATAGCGGAGCTTGAAGCGGAGTTAGAGGGTCTGCAAAACGAGTTAAACATGTTTGGTGTAAGTTTTGAGATACATTTTGTATACGTATATTTAATCATATTTAAACGAAATCTTTCAATATTTTTATGCGTAGCCTGCAATAACTGCCATCGAGAAGACTATGGCTGAAAGGGATCAAGAAATACAAAATATTAAAGAAAAGATGAACAATGTTGAGGATGATGTGTTTGCCAGTTTTTGTGAACAGATAGGAGTTTCCAATATCCGTCAGTATGAAGAAAGAGAATTAAGGTATGTAATTATATTATTGGTTAAGTGTTGTATTATCTTAAATGCTGAATTGCCAAAGTATCAAATATATATTGTTATTCTAGATCGCAGCAAGAAAGAGCAAAGAAAAGAATGGAATTTGACAACCAATGCAATCGTATTTATAATCAACTAGATTTTGAGAAGCAACGCGATACAGAAAGTATGTGAAAAGATATATTACATAAAAACTTATATTAAATATTAACATGAAGAATATTATATGAAGAAGCTTTTATTTTTTACATTCTGTGTATTAACTATATAGTTAGCTTTCGCATTATATTAATATTACTTACAATAGGTAATGTTTTGCGATGGGAACGAGCGGTGCAAGATGCAGAGGATAAACTGGAATCCGCAAAACAAACCGAATCTAATCAAAAAGCGGAGATTGACCATGACGAGCAGCAAATGGAGCAATTGAAATCGTCTCGCAATGCTAAAAAGATGGAGGTTGATCAGAAGGAAGACGAAATTGGAAAAGCTAGGCGTGAAGTAGGCGCGATCGCAAAGGACATTCAGGCAGCTCAGAAGCAGCTTAACGCAATTGAAACAAAGATCGAGCAGAAGAAGGCCGAACGACATGCTGTCTTGATGCAATGCAAGGTTTGTTGAGTCATTGATGTGAAATTGCATTATTCCACTATATTACGCGTATTGTTTTGAATTATTAACATTTAACAATATTTAGATGGAAGATATTGCAATACCTATGTTGCACGGAAATATGGAAGATATAGCAGGTGAGACAAGCACGACGAATGGAAATGAAACCAATAATGATTCATCAGTGAATACGCAACAACAGTACGAACGCGAAAGAAGGATTACCATAGACTATGCGCTTTTGCCCGAAAATCTGAAGGATGTGGAAGAAGAGGATATCAAAAAGACAACTGACAAGTTAACGAAAATAATTAACGATTTGCAGAATACAATACAGCGCATACAAGCTCCGAATATGAAGGTTTGCAACAAATTGTATATTGGTAATGATATGCCGATAAATGTAAAGAGTTATAAAAACTTGAAAATATTTTTTCTCTCTCTCTTAGGCAATTCAAAAATTATATTTAGCGAAAGAGAAGCTACAAGAGACCAATGAAGAGTTCGAGCAGTCTCGTAAGAAAGCGAAAAAAGCGAAGACACAATTCGAGAAGGTGAAAAAAGAACGACACGATAGATTCATGACGTGTTTCGAACACGTGGCGAATGAGATTGATCCTATTTATAAGGTTTGTGAATCAATGAATTTGTGTAAACATCTATATAATGATTTACAGATAAGTTTATAATTTATGTAAATATATTTTTTATATTATACATTTATTTTCATTTATATATTATGACTGTTTCAGAGTCTAGCGAAGAATCAATCCGCTCAGGCATTCCTTGGACCAGAAAACCCTGAAGAACCCTATTTGGACGGCATTAATTATAATTGCGTGGCTCCTGGCAAACGGTTTCAGCCAATGTCCAATTTATCTGGTGGAGAAAAAACCGTCGCTGCACTAGCTCTGTTATTCGCAATTCACAGGTTAATATTTTGAAATAACTTGAAATTAAATTGATGATACAATTACGATTACGATGGATGTGTAATTCACTGTTCGTCTGTATTCAGTTTCCAGCCTGCGCCATTTTTCGTTCTGGATGAGATCGACGCGGCCCTCGATAATACTAACATAGGGAAGGTGGCCAGCTACATCCGCGACAAAACGAGTTCGCTGCAGACAATTGTCATATCATTGAAAGAGGAATTTTACTCGCACGCGGATGCGCTTATCGGAATTTGCCCGGATGTAAGTAGACTATTTGATCGTGAATTGTTCTTACATGTCTTCGTTCATATTTGAATCTTATTATATCTATGTGTTTTATATGAATTACAGGTAGGCGAGTGTTTGGAGAGCAAAGTATTAACGCTCGACTTGACTACATCCCCTACACATGTTTCATAGATTATATAAAAGCCTATTATTTAAAAGATAATTTTCTTTTTCTTATAATATATATTCGCTATGGACAATTTTTTATTTTGTCTCCGCAGAGGAATATATAGATATTACAAAATATCAATGTATTATTATTTTTAGATTTATATTTACATTCTTTACTATTACTTCGAAATTATTGCAAAATCCTGCTTACTTTTTGATAAATTAGATCATATACTATATATACCTATCTATATTGTAAGTCAGAATAAGAGTTACAGTAATTGCGAATGTGAGACATATGGTACGTTGTGGAGCGATGTAAATAACTTTTAAAAACTTTGGCTTTAATAAAAACTTATGAATGAAATACTAAAATAAACACCTTTATTAATAAAACACGTGTTCCTATGTAACAATTTATTACATGTGTTTTGGTAATAATAATAATAAAGAAGCAGTAATTTATTTTGCAACATCACGCTTGTGTGTATCTTATTGTTAATTTATAATACGATACAATTATTATACAATAATATACATTCTATTCTGCAAGTCTGTTTCACATTAAGCAATGCGATAATCACATTTTTATTCTGGTTATTTATATGCCCTTGTTTATTATTGCGCGATCTTATTTTTATTAAAACATTGTTTCTATTTCTGTTTAAATTTATAACTATTTTAATTAGTGCACTGTGCATGTTAAAGCCGTTGTATGTACGAAACGAGTGTAAAAGTGTAGATATTTCGATAGTAAGCATATTTTACCGAACACGATAAAGTGTAATAAGATATACGCGATTAAACTTGTTTCTATATTTACATATCTTTATGTCAATATATATATATATATATATATATATACAACATTTAATATGCACCAGTGCATCTAATTGAATTTAATCGGGAAATTCGGGAATGCGTGCACCAGTACTGCAACGTAACCTCCCTTACGATGCGACTTCAACACTTTGGAATTTGTACATTGGCAATCCTGTTATTTCGAATCCGAAGTCTCCGGATTCACAACGGTCATTTGTACGCTGCTCGCCGATCCGTTCGTATTCGATAGGCGCTTTGCTTTGACAATGCCGATTTCCTTAAACACTGTCGTTATTTCCAACTTTAAGTCGTTCTTCGACGAGACGGTAATCGGTCCGATTGAGCCGTTTACGGCAATAATCGGACCAAATGGATGCGGTGAGATTCTTATGATATAATATGCTCTCTGCAACATTTATCTTATTCGATCAAGAGCAAAATTATCTTCCTCTGTATTCAAAATGTTTTTAATTCTTTACTTTTGTATAATGAATAATTATATTAAATGCATAATTTATGTGTACAATTACGCGCGCACGCATGCACGCACGCACGCACGCACGCACGCACGCACGCACGCACGCACGCACGCACGCACGCACGCACGCACGCACGCACGCACGCACGCACGCACGCACGCACGCACGCACGCACGC